TATATATATATATATATATATATATATATATATAAATGTAGGTGACTCCACTTTGGTAATCTTGAATGTTAATCTAGCTGTAATTGACATATGAGAAACGAACTGGGGCACCAACGATGGCAAACCAGTCATCATGTTAAGGCGATCAAATCTCAAGCAAACATGGCAGAGTTGATCACCCTGACATTCAACTTGTAGGATGCAGGGAAGTAGTCGACCAACTCAGGACATCCCCTAGGTCACTTTTCTATCTTCTTTTCTAGGTCGATTAGGATCCAATAGGGCGAGGAGATGTGCGTGCTATCGGCTCGTGTGAAGAATGTAAAGAGGATGAAAGAACTGGTGGTCACTCTTCAATTGCAGCTATCATTTGTCTATAGAGATCCCTCATGTTCTAGGCTCAAGTTGAGTCAGATCAACTAAGTCAGTGAGGTCTAGAGGGGAGTTCTTGTATAGGATGCCGCATAATTTTTAAGCACTTTATCTTAGAATGACTTTTTACATCTAAAAACCAAACTTTATTTTTTACATATCAACCCCCCCAAATCTCTTTATTCACATCAAAAGTATCAAGTGAGTTACAAACTCTCATACATAGATAACGTGACATCCATGTAAACGCTGAAGTTCAGTTGTAATACAGGTAAATACATAAAAAATTGAGTGATATGCATGCAAATCTTACTAAATAATAAAATAAACTTAATTAAAATTATTTAAAAAAAAAAAACTCTAATATATTACGATGTAAATATAAATATGTTAAATCCGGCATATATGATACTTTTAATATAAATCCAAATTTGCAGTCCTACATATTATTTGCCGCCCCTAACTACTTATACTTCTAACATTTGCATTTATGGCTGAAGATCGTGTGAAATGTAGATTTGAAAAAGGAAGCGCAGTCGATGGCAAAAGCTGGCAGACGCTCGTGCGGAAGGAAAAAAAGGGGAAAAGGAGAGAGAGGCTTAGAAAAGAAGGGAAGCTTTATTATGCTTAGTGGCTTTATTAGTTGCATGTTAGCTTTTTGTTGTGTGGTTGTAGTCACGGGATACAATCGGGATAGGATTTCATGTTTGAATATATTGTATTGCTTGTATTAGTTATATTAACTTAGGAATCTTTTATGTTTTGTTTTTATTTTATTTTGTTGTGTGTTGATCTAAAATATGGTATTGTTGAATTTGAATATGATATGTAGACCATGTCTGAGGAATAAAGGGTAGAGGAATGAGGGAGAGGGAGAGGGAGAGGGAGGGAGGGGAGGAAGGGAGAGGGAGGGAGACGAATGCCTCCGGTGGGGCAAGTGGGGGTGTTTCCCCGGCACGATGACCCTTTTCATGTATTAAAAGATTTTTTATAGGAGAATGGGAGGGACGAAAATGACATGAGTATCCTTATAAATAAAAGATTCTCCTATTTATAGATTATAGGAGGATAAATATAAAAGTACAAGCTTGCTCCGGAGAGTTGTTTTTGCTGGCACATCTTTATGTCTCTGGCATCTTTTCTTACTGATAAGCACATTTTTTAGTTATACAAATATCTCTGATATGTTTGATTATAATATAATTATTTTTTGAAACACTTAAATGCCCAATGATTAAATTAAGTTTTTTTTCTAAAATATATTTATTTATTGCTAGAAGAAAAAAATAAAATATATTAAAAACAAAGTTGATGTGTGATAGAAAATTCATGGTGATAGAATAACAGATTATCGTATTAGCTTTGTACAAGAATTTAACACAATTAGATTAAAAAAAAAACAACTAGTAAAAACATTAGAAAATTTTATGTGGAACCCAAAATTAGAAAAACATGTGGTCTAGTTAGTTGAAGTGATCCACCATAACTTTGTGCTAATAGCTACAACCTCTTCCCACAGGCCAGAAAGGGTTACACAATCATTCGAGCTACAAAATCAGTGTGCGGGTGAACTTATCATGAGGAATGAAGGACGACCGATGGTGATTGGCGGTGGTTGGAGAGTGGTGGTCGACAGTAGTTGGCGACTATCAATGGCTGCAAGAGTGATGTTGAACTTCGACTCTTTCTCCAAACTTCAGTCTTCTTCAAGTTTTGAGCTTTCTACTACCCTAAAAGAGGAGTGAAAAAATTTTGTTAGAGTTTGGATTACAATGAATAAAGAAGTATGAATCATACTGATTAGAGGACCCAAAGAGAATCCCCTGCCCTTCACAGAGATTGTCCTGATCTAATGGAGTTTGGTGAAAATTTGAGTACATTAATGATGTTGAAATTGAACGATTTTAGGTTTGTTGGATTCGTTTTGTAGAGACACTCGATTTAACAATAAGCTCACCAGATTCGACATCTATCTAACCTTCCAAATATGTCTGAAAAGCTTCCAAAAAAGGCTCAATGGCTTGATTTAGTTTTGATTTGGTTTATATTAGAACAATTTTCATACTGTTGGGTTCATATCATTGAGCCTATCAATTTGACTGCAAGTTTGTTAAAATCAAAGTTCTGTATGTATTCTAATTGATGTTTGATAGCTACTTGCTCAAAAGTTGTATTGAGATCTGTGCTACACCTTGAGATCCATATTGGACGATGAAAATTTGTTGAAGGTGTATTATTTGCCTCTGTATTTTCAGGTGAGACAAATTTTGTCATAAAAAACATCAAACTTTGAACCACTTTATAGTTCTATGTGATACCAAAGATTTGTCTGTCTGTGTGTAATAATAAAATTTTTGGTATTAGAAATGTAAATATATAAGAATTACTTCTATGAATGTAAACATTTTCTAACTTTTTCTATTTTAATAAATATATGTGTCGCTCACCATGACTCTTTTGTAGTGCAACCTAGTGTAAGTCTCCTGAGGTCACAGGTTCGATCCCGCCTAAGTTCATCTGCCTTGCAATGTGGAATCAAGTGGTTACGCACATGAGGGTGGTTTGGGACTCAGTTGATCATCTTTCATGTTGCAGCATAGAAGAAAGCCATCCCCTCTAGCATAACAGACGATCAATGGAATCTTCTTTCATGTTGCAGCTCAGAAGAAAGTCGTCCCATTTATTCGTAACAAATGCTCAATAAGATCTTCTTTTGTGTTGCGTCATAGAAGAAACTTTTGT